GGCCTCCCAGAGAGCTAGGATTACAGGCGTGAGCCACCGCGCTGTTCTTGATAGTGTCTGACACTCGGTCCATCCTCAGAGCTGCTCTCCCGCCCCCATCTGTCTGTCTCTGCTGGACGCCCACGCCAGGGTCTGGTCAAGGATCCCACACGCACTCGGTGGGTCTATCTTGGGCCTCTTTTCATGGGAGCCATTTCCTAGCGCTTAAGAGGCGGGGCCGTTGGTCCTGGAGAATGTCCCACCTCTGGCTCTGCCTGCTTTGAAGCGCGGACTTTAGAGGCCCGTGGTTCGGGCCACCTACTGCTGCACAACCAGCCACCCAGCACTGGCGGCTGAAGACGGTGGCAGCCGCGTACCGTGCTCTGGAGCTGACGCTCCGCTTGGCAGGGCCTTTTTTTTGCCCCACGTGGTGTCAGCTGGAGCCGTTGGTGTTATCACCCGGGCTCTGGGCTGATGGGGGCCTCGGAACAGCTTCCCACGCTGGCCGTGGCAGGAAGGCGTCGAGGGCGGGGCGGTCAGGCATCTCACCTGGTGGCCCAGGGCTCTCAGAGACCGTGGTCTCCCTTCTGCCAGCCTCCCAGCATAGCGGCCATGGCCTGAGTCTCATTGGTTAGAGTCGGTCACATGCTCACTCCCAAACCAATGGCAGCGAGGAGGGCGATGAGCCTCGGGATTGGCCAGGCAGCCATGCCCCACCCCCTGCCTGGTCCCGGTGGGGCCGGGCTGCTGGGTTCCCAGTTTGTAGAGGGGCCCAGTTGGCACCCAGGATTCTTTTTGTTTTTTTCCAGCTAGACCTCAGGAGCCAAGAGTTGAGTTAATTACAGTCCTCACCTCGTAACACACTATTGGTCTCTGCAGGCTCCTGCTTTTATTTTATTGATTTACTTATTCCCTTTGCTTTTTGTTCCTCTCGTGCCCTTCCCCCTCCGGGCAACGCCTCGTCTGTCCAGGGGACACCTGCTTACTGGCCCGTGTCTTGCCAGGTGTGCCTCTTGCCTCGGGCGCGTGCGTTTGTGCTGCACACGAACGGCACTGGGCTGTGTGTCTTGTTCGGTTTCCTGCCTTTTCCACCGAGCGTTCCATTTTGAGGGTACGCTGACTCGTTGGCTCCCAGTGCTGGGGTTCTCCACCGGGGTGTGTCTGTGAGGGTCCCTCATGTTGTTCCCTGAGGACATTTAATAAACACAGCGGGGAGGTGTGGGCAGGGTCAGGGAAACTCCCCGGCTGGGGCAGCTCTCGGGAGTGGCACTGGCGGGGAGCCCTTACCAGGGGGGCCTGAAGGGGTTGGGGGGGGGCGGCTGTGAGAGTCCAGCCAGGGCCCTGGCCCAGGGGGAGGGGCTGTGGCTGTTGGGGAGGGGACAGTGTCCGCAGGCCTCTGCCAGGAGGGAACGAACACCGAGTTTCTCTCTCTCTGTCAGGGCTCCCACTGGTCAGACCCACAGGAGGCTGGAGGGCCTGGAAGTCAGGGTGCAGCCTGAGGACAGCTGCGGGATGGAGCAAGGTGGAGAAGGGCAGGCTGCGTGTCTGGGAACAGGCAGCTTGACAGGAACTGGCACTGTGGCCGCCACCTGCCCGCCCTTCCTAGCCCAGTCAGTGGCCCGGTGACCACCATGGGCCGTGCGGACCTGGTACAGATCTCCCTGAGTAGTGCACTGGGCATCTGAACCGCCGGTCATGGAGCATCTGTGCTTGATCACGTGTATGCCTCCCTCTAGAGTGGCTGCCTAGGCGACACTGAGGCCAGTGGCACCATAATAACAGCATCATTCTAACGTTCGCCTTTCTAAGGGGCATGGGGGAGAGCCCGTGGTGGTTTTACTTTGCATCTCATCTCATTGGTTCCCAGTAAGTCCCCGCCTTGGAGGGCTGGCCAGCGCCTCGTGAGCCAGCCCGGCAGGCCCTGAGCAGCCTGTCACAGGGGCTTAGTTTGCCGGCCAAGATCTGGCTGCTGGGGCTCCCCACAACAGGGAGGCAGGCCACCTTCCCCACGCCCTCCCCGAGTGGCTCTTCTCGAATTGGTGGGGTGGGATGCTGTCTGAAGAAGCGGACACTCAGGAGGCTACTTACTGTGGGGCTGTGGGAAATCACAGTTGGAGCCTCCAGGAGGAGCATGTTTGAATCTGTGACCCAGCAACACAGACATTGTGCTCTCTTATTTATCACTCATATGAGTGTTTCTCAATTCTTTTTGCTTATCTCCGGGGACAGGGAGCTCACCCCTTCCTCCCCACAGCCTGGTCCATCCCAGACCTGGAGAAAGCTTTCTCCATGTGGAACTGAGATCTGCCATCTTCTCTAGCCCCCTTCCCCCCATACACATACACACCCCATCCAGAGCAGTTGTGGAGATGTGAGGATAGTGAGTGTCCAGGTTAGCCACCCTAAGGGTCCCGGCCCCCCCACCCCCACCTGGGCCACCTCCTCTGGACACATCCCAGACAGTCCTTTCCCCTCCTGGCCGAGCAATCTTTAGACTGCACTAGGGAGGCTGAGCTGCATACAGGGGTGCCCCAGACTGTGGGGAAAACAGGACCCCAAACCCCATGTGACATCTCAGGGTGGCCAGAGTTTAGCAGTTTTACAGAGAAGTTGGAAACCTGAATTTTCATGTGAACGTTTCTAATTTGTGAATGCTGGTAACCAATTGAAAACTAAAAACCACTGTGTGGGCCATACAGAATGCACATGTGGGCTAGATAATGCCCGTGGGCTCCTACCGTGACCTGAGGTGTGGAAGAACCTCTTTACCATGTGGATACAGAGTTGAGGCTCAGAGAGGGTGGGTGATTTGCCTGGGGTTGCACAGCAAATGAGAACACAGAGTCAGGCCTGGGCCTGATGTTCTTTATCCTTACCCTGGGCCTGGGATGGGGGTGATGGGCAAGCCGAAAATTTGGAATCACCTGCGTGTGGTGTGGACAGAATGTGTCGCTGAGGGGGGTCAAAGGGCCAGGCCACCCTGGGGACCAGGTGGCTAGCAGAGCTAGGGGACCGGCTTGCTGGATGGGGTGGTGGGGCGGGGCCAGCTGGGAAGGAAGCTTCCTGGGAGAAGCTCATGCAGACCCTTTTTCCTCTCCGCTCCTGCCTGGATGTTTAACAGAAGGGCAAACAGGGGGTGGGGGGCGGAGTTTAGGTCTCTAGCAAAAGATTTTCTTTCTTGAAAGGCACTGGAGGGAGTGGACCCCAGGCGTTGGCAGTTTGCACGCCCCTCCCTTAACCATCTCGAGGGCCACTGACTTTGTTAATTGGGATGAAAGCCCAGATTGTTCCAGGGTGACTTCTAATGTCAGTGGCTTGACGGAGCCCTCCACCCTCCTCAGACAAGAGGGCAGGGGCCTGCCAGCCCTCTTGGTCCCCTCTGGTCCTGGCCCTGGCACAGGCGCCGGTCCTGGCGGCCCACCCACCTCTGGTCCTCTACCGGCAGGCTTCCTCGCTGGGGGACACAGCAGTGCCCCTCCAGGCACTTGGGCAGAACCTTGGCTCCTCGCTCTGGGACTCTTCTGTCCCACCCCATGCCCCCCGCGGGCAAACCCTCTTGATGCTGCCTTTAAGATAAATGCCCGTACTGCCTCTTGCCACCCCTGCCCGGCTCCCGTCTTGACGCAGCAGCCAGGTGAGTCCTTTACTAGAGAGTCCGATGAAGTCATCCCAGGCTCCAGGGCTTCCAGGCATGCCAGGGCTGGTCTGCGGTCGCCACCGTGTGCTCAGGCCTGCAGCTCGGCCGAGCTGGCCCTCTGCTGCTCCTCACCTGAGTCCTGCGAGTCCAACCTCAGGCCCTTTGCCCCCCGTTCCCACTGCCTGACGTGCTTCACCTCCAGATCAGGTCATCAGGTCTCAGCTCAAACGCCACCTCTTCCGAGAGGCCTTCCTGGACCACCCTCTCTAAAATATGTTCTCCCCACCCCGTCATGTCCTGTTCCCATCTCCTTGCCTTCCGTCATCTGTTTCTTCACTGCGTGTATGACAGCCGGGTGGTCAGTTCCCTGCAGATTTCCTCTTGGGTTTTACCCACCTCCTCCCTGCCCCCGAGTGTCAGTGCTGGGAGGATGGCCAGAAGCCTGTCTCGTTGGCTGATAAACTCCCGTTCCTAGAGGAGCTGCTCAGTTGGTGCTGGTCAACTGGCCATGCCAGGCCCTGGGGGCTGTCACTCTGGCACTGCCCTGTGGCTGGTGGTTGGTAGAGGAGGAACCCTTGCGTGTGACTTTGGGAAGCACGCTGTCTGGGGCTGTGGGGACTGGGGACTTGGGCAGGGGTGGAGCTGGGGGCAGGAGAGAGGGCTGGCCTGAAGATGGCATTTGAGTGGCTCGTCCAGGATGACAGGATGGGGAAGAAGAGAACCTCAGGAGTGTGCAGGCCCAAGGGCCCATGAGAGGGTCAGGTCAGGGTGGCTCCTGCAGGGCCTCGATTGCCGGGCTGAGTCGGGAATCCGGAGCGTTCCTTGCAGTGTGAAGCTGGGGCAGCCGTGGGCTGTGGAGTGTCAGTGTCAGGCAGAGTGGGGAAGGGGCGGAGGGAATGGGGAGCTGTTCGGGGGAGAACGGACGGGACCTGAGGGGGTGTCAAGGATGGCAAGATGTTAGGCGCGTTTGCTGGTGCTGCTGAGGAGCGCGGCAGGAGCATCCCCTGGGGCTGGACTCGCAGCCTGAGGGGGCCTCAAGGGGGCGTTGCTGAGCCTTGGGTCTGAGGGCCGGGCCAGCCGGCAGTTGTGGCGTGGCTGGGAATGGGGCTGGGGTTGGGGAGAGGCATTGTTGGGTGGCGGTGTGCGCACGCACGGGGGGCCGTGTCAACGACTCTCGGCTAACACCTGCGGCACTGAGCGACCGCGCACTCACCTGTGTGTTATCTTCTCCCATGTGTCAGGGCCCGTGTGCGTCTGGGCAAGCCTGGCGGTGTGCGTGGACCATGTGCTCGCGTACGAGGGAGGTGGCTGAGGTCGGGCCCTGCCTGTGCGCGTGCTGGAGTGCACCCCTGCTGCTGACAGCCTTCCTTTCTGATTCCCCCAGGGCCTCGCGGAAGAGGGGACTGTCCCGGCCTAGCCTGGACCATGGTGCTGCTCTGGGAGCCTGCAGGAGCCTGGCTGGCCCTGGGCCTGGCCCTGGCGCTAGGCCCCAGCGTGGGCGCGGCCGCCCCTCAGCAGGACTGCACGGGCGTCGAGTGCCCGCGGCTGGAGAACTGCATCGAGGAGGTGCTGGAGCCGGGCGCCTGCTGCGCCACGTGCGTGCAGCGGGGCTGCGCCTGCGAGGGCTACCAGTACTACGACTGCCTGCAGGGTGGCTTTGTGCATGGCCGCGTGCCTGCTGGCCAGTCCTACTTCGTGGACTTCGGCAGCACCGAGTGCTCCTGCCCCGCCGGTGGCGGCAAGATCAGCTGCCAGTTCATGCTGTGCCCAGAGCTGCCGCCGAACTGCATTGAGGCCGTGGTGGCGGCCGACAGCTGCCCGCAGTGTGGCCAGGTGGGCTGTGTCCACAACGGCCGTAAGTATGCTGCTGGCCACACCGTCCACCTGCCACCATGCCGGGCCTGCCACTGCCCTGACGCTGGTGGGGAACTCATCTGCTACCAGCTTCCCAGTTGCCATGGGAACTTCTCAGATGCCGAGGAGGGTGACCCCGAGCGACACTATGAAGACCCCTACAGCTACGACCAGGAGGTGGCTGAGGCAGAAGCAGCAGCGGCCCTAGGGGGTGAAGGCGAGGTCCAGGTGGGCGCAGGGGGCCCCCCGGCCGCTCTGGGAGGCGGGAGTCAGCCGCTGTCCACCATCCAGGCGACCCCCTGGCCAGCCGCCCTCCCCAGACCCACGGCGGCTGCTGCCCTGGGTCCCCCAGCCCCTGTGCAGACCAAAGCTAGAAGAGTGACCGAGGACAGCGAGGAAGAAGAGGAGGAGGAGGCGGAGGAGGAGAGGGAGGAAATGGCTGTCACTGAGCCACTGGCAGCAGCAGGCCCCAAGGGGCTGGACGGGCTGCCCACTGCAGGCCCAGCTGGATCCCGTCTCCCTGTCCAGGAGGAGAGGGCAGAAGCCAGGGTGGGGCCTGAAGAGAACCTCATCCCAGATGCCCAGGCCATGCCCGGCAGTGCTGGGCAGGAGGGAGCCACACCCACGCCAGGGTCAGGCACGGCCGGTCTGGTCCTGACGCAGGCCGCACCTAGCTCTCCCGGGGGCCTGGTCAAGCCCAGCACCCACACCATCCTGTCCACGCCGCCGCATGATGCAGCCCGAGTCCCACCCACCCAGGAGGTGCCTAAGCAGCCGCAGGTTCTGCCCCAGTCCCGGGCAGAGGAGGACACAGACCCCAACTCTGTCCATTCTGTCCCCAGAGGCAGCGCTGAAGGTAAGACCTTTCCTGGTTTCTCCAGGGGCTCTTGGCCCCGGAAGGGCAGCCTTAGGGGTCTGGTCGCTGTCCCAGGTCTCGGCATAGCTGCCTGGGGCAGCAGACATTGTGGCTGTGGGCCACTCCCGGCAGAGCCAGCCCAGGCCCTCGGGCAAGCAGGTTCTGAGCACCTTCTCCCAGGCCCACCTCGTGAGGGTGGAGGGGTGGGTGGGGGTTCCTGTCATAGAAGGTGCTGGGCCCGTGGTAGGGCTGTGGTTGTGGTTGAGGTCCCAGCACCTCATCAGAGTCGGGCTCCCTGAGGAGGGCTCCTGCCAGGTGCCCGTTCAGTCCAGCAGGGCCCACGGGTGCCCTGGCAGGAAATTCGGAGCTTCCCGGCCCTGGTGCAGCTACCTGCTCACATCCACCCTGACAGCCTCCGGCCACGGCTGTGTTCTGAGTCTCTGAGGTGGCAGCAGAGGGGATGTGTTCCCTTGAGGGGGCTCCTTGCGAGAGCCTGGTACCAACCCTGCCACCCCCCTAGCCAGGGATCCTGTTAACACACAAGTTGGTCCTTGTGCCTCTTCCACTCTGCACCCTGCTGTGGTTCCCACCTTACTTAGAGGAGAAGCCCAAGCCCTCACAGTGGCCACAGGCCCTCACAGCCTGCCCCATGACCTCCCAGACCTTCTCTCCTGTTGTCTTCCCTATCACCCACTCCGCGAAGCTCCAGTGGTCCTCACACCTTCCTGCCCCAGGCCCTTTGCACTTGCCACTCTTGCCTCCTGAAATGCTCTTCCAGGTGTCCACTTGGCCCACTCCTTGCTTCAGCTCTCTGCCCGGGTTACCTCCCCAGGGAGGTCTTCCCTGCCTACCCCGCTTTCCTCTTCCCCTGCTGTAACTTCTCTGAGCACACCTGACATTGCAGTCCATAACTCCTCGTGAACTCGCGTATTGCTTTCTCCCCCAGTAGAACATTAGTGCTGTGGCGTGAGGGCGGGGACCACGTCTGTTATATTCTCTGCTGAGTCCAAGGGCCTCCAGCAGGGCCTGCACACAGTTGGTGCTCAATAATATTAGGTAAATGAATGAGTGACTCAGTGGGGGGTTCCATGGCCACCCCTTTTCTCAGTCATCCCTCTTCACCCTACTTCCCCTTCCGTCCTCTGAGCACCCTGCACTGTCTCCCCTCTGTTCCAAGCATTTGCTCACATTGTTCCTGGCCAGCTCAGACAGCACCTCCTCCAGGAAGCCTTCCCTTAATCTTTGTGTCTTGTCTCACCTCCCTCCCCCTGCCCCACCCCGAGCTCTACGTTCTCCCTGCCTCCTTTTTGAGGATGCACTGGGGAGTTGTCTCATTTCTAGAGATCTTTCCCCACAGCTGGGAGCCTGCATCTTATTCAATCCCATATCATTTGCTCTACAGCCTTCATTAGGTGTCATCTGTGAACAAGCCCTGTTGGCCCTGGGAACACAGGGTGGATCAGTGTAGGCCTGGTCCACAGGCTGGGTGCTGTGAGGGAGAGATGCCTGTGTGATATCTGGGAAGGCTTCCTGGAGGAGGGGGCATGACGAGCTCTGGGGTTTCTGTAGTGTTCCCGTCGACCCATCCTGCTGTGCATAGCTGTGTGGCCTCGGGCAAGGCTCTTAGCTGCTGAGACCCTGTCTTCCCATTTGGTCGAGCGCTTTCACCACACTTGCTGGACGTGGGCTACTTACACAGCCCGTGCAAGTGCAGCGGGGGTGAGACTGGGCTCCATGGGCTCCTCCAGGCCCCCAGGCTGCCACCCCCGACACCTCTGCTTCCAGCCTGCTCCCAGTGGGCGGGGCGCAGAACAGCGCCTCCAAGATGCGAGACTCCCGCTTCTGCGACTTGATCCTCCCCACAGTCTGGGTGGGTGGGCTCCATCTCCACATTCTGAGCCAAGTGTGCTCTGGGAGCTGTGGCTGGTGGCTCCAGGTCACAGGTGGGGGCGGGGAGCATGCGTGGGTGTGCGTGTAATGAAGTGCACGTGTGCCCGGGAGGGCTTGCAGCCTGGCTCGGAGCTGCAGCTTCCCGGTTTCCAAAATAGGCACAGCCCTGGCCTCGCCCCGCCTCTCGGTGCCGGAGGCCTCTCTGCGGTTCTGGGCCTTGGAATCCTGGGGAAGGCTTTGTTCTCAGGAGCCCCAGTTTTTTTCTCTGCCCTCAGCTTTCTCAGATGGATTTTGGGGTGTGGCCTTTGGTGAGGGCTCCTGGGGGACGCCCTGTATCCTGTGGGAGGGCTGCCCTGGCAGGGGGCCCGGCATGTGCAAAGGCCCTGAGACTAGAATTAGTGGGCGTGGAGGGGTGTACAGGGAGTGGAGGTGTGAGGAGCCCGGGAGGGGTGGACTAAATGGGACCCAGGAGCCCGGGCCTGGCCGGATAAATATCCCTACCCGCTCTCGCCCTTCTGCCCACCCAGGGTCCGCTCCGCACCCTCCAATTCACAGGCTCTGGCTCCACGACCATGTAACTTAGGCAAGTGGCTTAAGGTCTCCTGCTTCAGTTTTTCCATCTGTAAGCAGCAGAGAAGTCCCTGCCTCAAGGGAGTTGAATGAGCTATTTCATGTCAAATGCGCCACAGGGAGCTGAGTGCTTGCTGAGCAATTAAAAGCATTAGCGGTTGTTATTCACCCCGGTCCTTGGCAGATATTCGGGGAGCACTCTCTGTGCCGGGGGTTGTGCCAGCGAGCCAGGCAGGTACGCCCCTCCCCTTCTGGGGGCTGATGGGGAGGAGGGCCTCACACACGCACGGGGTCTCCCCACCCCCGTCACAGCTGTGTGCTGCACAGAGAGGGGGTGCGGAGGGGATGGGAGCCCAGTGGGTGGGGGTCAGGTCGCCTGATGGAGCATCCGAGGGGAAGGGGGTTTGGGCCTCAGAGCTCCCGGCTGCTGTTGTGAGGGGAGGGCTGAGGGATCGGGTGGTGGAGGGGCCCTTGTGGGGAGAAGCTGGGGAGGCAGCTTAGCCTCGCTCAGCCCCTGGGGCCTGCGAAGAGGCAGGCAGTGGGGCCGGAAATGACTCCCCAGCCGTGTTTCCATGGCGGCCCTGGGGCCTGGAGAAGGCGGTTTCCAGCCATTGCCTGGCTAGGGTGGGGGTCCTGCTCTGGAGCCGGAGCCGTGCCAGGGATCCAGGCTGCTTCGGCTGGGCTTTCCCCGCCTCTGAGCATGTCCAGATGTGGCGTAATGGAAGCCACATGCCCAGCTCCCAGGGCTGGAGAGAAGGGGGCTGACGTCTGTTGTCACTCGGGAGGCTTTGTCAGGGCGGCTGCTCCCACAGGGCTGGCACAATGAGGGGCCACAGCGGAGAGAACCCTGGGGCAGGGTGGCCCTCAGGAGGTCGGAGGTTCCAGGGGCAGCTGGACACAGCCCCTGACCTAGAAGAGGCCTCGGTGCGACCTCTGTGGGCCCCAGGAATTCGTGGCAGGAAAGGGGCCCCTTCCTTGGGGCCTCACATAGCCAGTTCTGCAGGGCAGTGGTCTTTGAATGCTGTGACGCTCCAGTCAGCAGAGAAACTCTTTAGAATTCAGATGGTTGTTTCTATCAATTGCAGACACCGTGTAGCACTGTGACACGTGCCAGGCACTGTTGTAAGCACTGTGTCATTAAGCCCTGTGATCCCCACAACAGTCTGTATCAGTTTACAGGAGCGGAGAGTGAGCTTCAGAGAGCTCAGGCCACGTGCCTGTGGACGCCGGGGCAGAGAGTGCTGGAACCAGGTTTCTCTCACTTTCTTCACCTCTCTATCCCCGGACAGTGGTTTTTGAGTGCCCAGCGTGTGTGTGGGCTGGGGCGGGGGCTGAGCATACAGTGTGGAGCAAAGCCCAGCACGGTCCTGCCCCCGGGGAGCTTAGGGCTTAGAGGGAAGATAAAGAACCCAGTAGTCACGCAGGTGTGCAGTTCCGAGAGGTGATGCCTGGGCTGAGGAACAGGGGGCGGTGCTCTGCAAGCCTGTCTATGGCGAGGGGACCTGACTCCTGGGGATCAGGAAAGGCTTCCTGGAGGAAGTGATGCTTGAGCTGCAGTGTAGAGGAGAGGCAGTAGGTGGGGAGTGGTGAGAAGGGTGTGCTCCAGGTGGGGAGAACAGCATGTGCAAAGGGCCTGCTGCCAGAGGGAACTGGCAACTAGATTGAGAGGAAGCCCTGTGGCTCATGTGAAAAGAGGCTGGGGAGGGGGCAGGGGCTAGACCCAGGGTGACGTGTGTATCCTCAGGATGAAGATTTGTGCCGTTGTCCCAAGGACAGTGGGGAGCCCCTGAAGGTATAAGGCGGAGGTAGCATGATAGGATTTGTGTTTTGAGGTACTCCCTGCAGGTGCAGGGAGGAGAACACAAAAGCAGGGCTCTTCCCCTCTCACCCGAAGCCAGTGCTGGGCCGTTCCAGTGTCCATGGGTCTCCATGGTCCCCCAGAATCACCAGGCTGTAGCTCCAGGGAGCCCCAGAGTGTGACCTGCCTCGACTCACCCTGTTCCCTGGAGTATTGCTGCAGACTCTCCTCTCCAGGGTTGGCCTGCGGGGGCTTTAAACCCATGTGGGGTCTGAGAAATGCACGAGCACGGCCCTGGACCCCATGGAGCTGAGGCAGTCACTTTCCATTCCCTTGTTCTCCGGCAACCACCGATCTACCTTTTGTCTCTACAGATTTGCATGTTCTGGATATTTCCGGAATAGCCAGGAACCCTGCAGTCTGTGGTCTTTGTGTGTGACTGTCTCCTTTCACTTAGCACAGTGGTGTCGCGTGTGGTAGGTAGTTTATCCTTTTCATGGCTGAATGATAGTCTGTCGTGTGGATACATGGCACTATTTTTATCTATGCATTTATTGATGGACCTTGTGTTTCCAACATTCAGCTATTATAAATAATGATGCAATAAATATTTATTGGCACAAATTTTTGTGTGGACATATGTTTTCATTTTTATCTTGGAATACGAGGGCTGTCTGGAAAGTACCCAGCCATGTAACCGTTCTCATTACATTAGCAGTGGCTGGATACTTTCCGGATAGCC